CGATTCTTAAACCAAACCTAAAACGACAAAAAACGAGAAAACGCAAATATTAGGATTTTTCACGTTCTGGTAACTAAACACAAAATATACATATAAATATGTGCATATGTATGCATGTACATAAGTATATAAGGTAAAATTCGCTTCCTAAGTTTTTAATTTGCTTACGATAACCTGAATACTTAAAGCAACTTTTGAAATTGTATGTCTTCTCGCGGCAAAGTAATGTCTTTATTCGAATGGTAGCAAAAAAACATTATTCCCATGGCAATACGGCAAGTGGATAAAGTAAACAATAAAGTTGAAAAATATACAAGCAATAATGAGGAGAAGCAATTTCTTAATTTTTTTTTTTTTAATGCTGCCTCTTGTTTATGCAAGTACACACAAAAATCAGAAGATGAATTGCAGAAAAAAGTATATTCAAAGAGTCGCGCGATTTATTGGATCTGGAATTCAACACCATGAGCTCTGGCAATGTAGTTTAGGTTAACGCCATCTTATAATTTTATGAAGCAGATTGAGCCGAGTAATATCCCTTTGATCCTTAATATTTACTATTTTTCTTTTGCTTATTTAATATTCATTAATTTTTTATAGCATATTCTAGTGTAAATCCGATTTAAAAATTTTCTGCAAATTTAAAAAAGAAAAAGAAAGTCCCAAATTGGTGCGCTGTCCTAATGACCTGCAGTGAATAAGTTAATAATATTTTTAGAAAAATTTCGAATATGCAGTTTTGTAGTCCATTTACGATTTTTTATACAAAGTGTGTTCGACAAAATTCTTATATGGAAGAAAATGGGCAGCACCGTTAACTAAAGAAAATACAAAAAATTAACGGTATTCTGTAAGAACTTGAAACTTGCAGAATAGCACATATATTATTTTTCATATTTGTTAAATTTGCATAAAATTTTAAAATCGGACTTACACGGAGAATATTCTGTGGAAAAGGATATTCAATTGCATCGCACTGAACGTCAAATATACTAGAGAATATCTTAAACCCAAATGAATTAAAGAATCTATTGTCCTTGGGCAGATGCCCGATAGACGATATCCAAAGTATCTTTCCTGCAAAGGCATATGCGTTCATTATATATGTAAGTTCATAGCTAATTGGTATGGATATATATAAGCCACCCCTTGACTTTGAGAGGCGGTAAATTTTGAAACTTAAATTTAGATAAGTGCAGGTTTATTAATTTAATACCGGTTATCTAAAGCTTTCTAAATTTTACACATATTTTTGAAGAATCCGGCCTACTATTTCAAACTAATTCGGTTATTGGCTATCAACTATGCCTAAAACTTTGCCACAGAAACTTAATTTAGGCCAACACCTCTTTTTGCAACGCCCTTTTATGCTATTCAACCCTTTTCAGCAGTGATCAGCTGCAATTTTGTTCCCAATTAAATCTTTGAATTTTTCACAACATCACTGGATAAGGGTAAAAATTCCTCAAGTGTACCCGCCTAAAATTTTATTTGGCCAATTATGCTACAACTCCACCAAATCGTAGTGTTAGTGAGCCTGTTTGAGGTCTGTGAAGAGATTCAAAATCTTCATTTTTACCGCGAGCACGAATATTAAAATTGTTATAACTTTTACTTCTTAGAGGGGCTCCGTTTTAGTTTTCTACGTCTGCTTTAGAAAGCATTTTTATCAGCCGATTATCCGATCAAAATATTAGTAAAAAATTATTTTTTTATTTTTATTTTTTATTTTAGGTTTGAGTGGGAGACCGCCAAACGAATAGTGTGCAAACTTCAACCATTTCAAATCTAATTTGAATAAAAAATTTTGTAGCGTTGAGTAATAGTTTGAGCCTCCTTTAAATTAATACATTGCCGGTGATCGAATAAAATTCGATTCGAGATTTCTTTTTGAGACATGATTTAATAATAAAAGGTTTTCTCAGAAAACAGTTTTCTCATTACCTTTTGACAAAATCGGCTCCCTTAGCAAGACACTGTGTGTCAGTTCGTGTGTGTGTGCAAAGCGTTTGTAAGGGAGTTAAGGGAGTGTCAAAACTCGACTGTCAATAATGAGCAAACCTTTAATTATTGAATCATGTTTTTGAGATAACGGCATTCAGTAGAAGTTTGCTTTTCAATTCAAAGCAAATTGTAGAGGAGTGAAAACAGCTATAATTTTATTTCATTCGATTCGAATCAAGGCAAATTCAAATAAGGTTGGGGTATTAGAGCAGCTGATTTCAAGGTGAATTGTACTGATTGTCAAAATGATGTGTTTGTTGTATGATTGTTGTATTCTGATTGTCATTGTGCCTATAATTTGTTAGTGTCGTCTTTTTGTTTTTGTCCTGCCGCTATCATCTTATGAATTCGCCTTTAGAGTTTCCTTCGATCACGGATGCCGCTATTCGGGCCAGTTTTATGTATAGGTTTTTTGTTGAATATTTTATTGACGTGAAATACATTTTTTATTGTTTGATATAGAAATACAATTTGTCCCAAGGCGAATTCATGCAAAGTGATAGCAGGAGTACTAAAATAAAAATTGTACACACAATGCCAGTAAGAATTAAAACAAATGTACAATAAATACATAATTTTGTCATTAAGAATCACCGAGGCGAAAATCCAGCTGCTCAGGTAACACGGTCGGTTATAAATTCGCCATTTTGTTCTAAGAATATTTGATATTGTGTCTTAAAAAAAAATCTACAAACTTCTACCATTTTTGATTGTAAAATCTAATAATTTTTTTGAAGTCCGTACACTGATTCCGTGTAATGGTGGATTGACTTGCCGCATGAAATTATGAAGATATTATTTTTGATGAATTTAATAATAATTTTAATAAAAATAATAACATTTTTAATAGAAGCAGGATAAACTAATATTTTATTGTATTTTTCAGAAATACAAATCATATAAGGAGCTTTATTTTTTACCAAAAATTAAATTTGAGTTAAATTTTTTTTTTTATAAAAAAAAATCATTGTTTTTGGGTTTTATATTTTTCATCAAAAATAATCAGCCTTATCATGAGTTTCAGTTTCCCCGAACCGGTTCACTTCTCACATTTATTTTCCATGTATTTACTATGAGCGGACGAAAAATTTTCGGGTGAATTTTTTCGGGCGAAACTCAGGATAAGTTTTTAGTTTTTTTATCGAAAATAAAGCTTGTTTTCTGAGCGTTACTTTCTCTTTGAGAAATAAAAATTATTTTTCAGTTATAGTTTTTTTTTGCAGATCGAAAAACTTAAAACGCCACATGATTCTGCATAAAATTTCGACATATGTACATTAGACTGTCCCAAGAATATATGGAAAAAATTGGTTAGCAAATCTTGATGTACATAAATACCCTCCATAATTCTGCTTTTTAGCCTAAATAGCATATATGTATATGAAATTTTATGGCCTAGGATAACGGTAACCCGAGCCGACTTTTAGTTGCAGTTTTAGTAAATAACTGGAATAAATTAATCGTCCATGTTTCAATATTTGACCGCATTTATAGTAAATCTTCATCTTTAAATTTTTAATAGGACAACAGGATATCTCCTAAGACCATCGAAAAAATTAAGTAATGGAAAATATCTTTTGCAAGTTTTATCCTTTAATATCCTTATATATAATTATAAAATATAAATAAAATTAGTATTTTTCAAAAGACATTAAAAATTAAAAATCTTGAAGGATAATATTTTTAAAGCTAATTTTTGATATGTTGCAAAAGGATAACTGAGAACGAAAGTTATAGTTGATCTTGCTTCGAATTCTTCTTTCAATTGATACCCATATACCCCAATTTTGTGTAAACTTTGGCAAAATATTATAATTTATGGTCGTTTGGAAAAAATCTTGGCTACCTGCTAAAAAAAACTAAAAACGCAGATTTACTAAATATTATACTAAATACTATTTCCGTAGGTAGTATAGTAATATCATCTTATATAGAAGCAAAATGAGTAAATTACAAAACACGCGAACCACACAAAGCTTATTCTAATAACTTTGACTGCAAGTCGCCGCGAGCTCTCAAGTAGCACATTGGTGTATAACTTGGTGTACATTTGTGAATTTCGGTACAAAATTCATAAATGTACACCAATTTATACACCAGTGTGCTACTAGAGGTGCCGTGGTCCGAATTGCATAAAATTGTATTCGGATAGTTTTTAAGAGAAAACCAATAAGATGAGGGAGTATGCGTTAAAGAAACAACTTTTTGGGACAGTCTAATGTACATGCATACATATATGTATCAGAATAACCGCCGGTTTTTCCAGCAATTTAAATAATTGTTCCCCTTTTGTCAGTTTTTATATTAAATCCAAATAAAAAATCATTTTTCACTTGCATTAGTTTGTTGAAACTGGCAGTAAAAACTATTTCTCTAAGTTTGTATATCTATAAATAATCTGACGATATAATCACAGCGCTTTGACGGTTAGTCGTCCTAGCAACCGCGGCTTACGATGCGTATACGTAACATATGAATGCTATAGATATGCATTTGCATTTATTCTATGCTAGTATGTAAATACATACCTATGTCTGTATCTTTGCAGACATGTATGAATATTATT